CCCAAATCCCTCCAGCTTTAAACAGATTTCATCATTGTTCTAAAAATAGAGGGATTATAAATAATCCTCCAGCATGGAGCGACGTTTGGGAAGTGGCACCGGGGGCTGGTGGCAGCTCCAGAGGGCTGAACCTTGGGGCTGAGCCATGGGGGAACCCAGGAACCCCCAAAACGGTGGCTGTGGGGTGTGGGGACATTCCCAGGGCAGGATCCCAGGACAGGCTGAACCAGTGGGAGCCACCAGCATAGAACTGAGCCCAAAAAATGATGGGATGGGATGGGATGGGATGGGATGGGATGGGATGGGATGGGATGGGATGGGATGAAGAGGCCATAGAAACAGGGAAGGAACAAATCCAGCTGTCCCAGGGGTGACAGTGAACCACTGGAAGGACTCCAGGTGACAGAAGGAGCTGGGTGCTGCCACCAAGGTGACACAACAGCCGCCCCACCTTAGGAGCAGAGGGTTGCAGAGCAAGGATCTGTTCCCAGTTCAGRCTCTCAGGGAGTGTCCCCAGCCCCTCCCCATGGCACAGCAGCCCTGTGTCCCTCCAGCTCGTCCCYCCTTTCCCTCAAGCCAGGCTGGCCGGGGTGTGGGACAGCCTGGAGCAGTGAGAGCTGCCCCTGCCCATGGCCAGGCATGGAATGGGATGAAGTTTARAATCCCTTCCAACCCAAACCATTCGGTGACATTCTGTGAAGCACAGCCTGAGAGTGCAAACCGAGGGTGACCCAAACCCCACAGAGAGCAAATAAAAATAACCACCCTCACAAAAACCCCCAAACAGCCAAATGCACGGAGCTCCAGTGGTGTTGGGGTTTGGCAGCTCCTTTTGGGATCCCCCCTGGCAGAGCCCCTCTCCAGCACAGGCTGGAATGGGATTTAAAGAGAAGGCAAATGTGTGCTGCTGCTGCTGCTGGGGGGATTCAGGGCYGGGATTATCCCAGCGGGATCCCAAGGAGCAGATGCTCGTCCCGGCTGCCGGAGCCCCACACAGGGGAAGGGCCAGAGCTGCCGGAGCTCAGCCTGGGCGTCTCCAGAGGGAGGTGGGAGCTGCTCAGAGGCTCAGCTCCTGTTCCATCCCTCAGTACCAGCCTGGCACCCTCAGCTTGGCCTCACACCTTATCCCAGTGGGATCATTTCAGGAGGAGCAGCCAAAGGGAGTGATGGGCAGAGCAGCTCTCCCCACACCGACGCAGGTCTGGGTCTATTCCTCTGCAATGGGATGGGAATTGATCCCAGATCCAGCCCTCTGGATAAAACACAAATTAACCCCAGCAGCTCATTCCCTGCAACAATCCTGGACCATCCACAGTCCTGCTCCTCTCTGGCTCTGCTTGTCTCCAAGGTAAAACACCATTTTCCATTTGCTCCCATCTCTGCAGACTTCAGGGGCACAAAGSGTTTTCCTACCTGGAATTTTCCCCCATGACACAAATCACCTTCAGCAGGTCCTGACTGAGCCTTGGATCCTCTGTGCCTGATCCCATTGGCTTTGTTTGCCTTTGGACGAGGATTTATCCTGGTGCTTGTCAAAACTCCCACCCCCAGAGCAGAGAGTTCTGCTGTAAAGGGAGGATGGAGGTGAAATCAAATATCCAGAAATCAAAACCCAGAAATCAAATATCCAGCAATCAGATACCCAGCAGTGATAGACTGGCCAGGCCATGCAGCAGAAGTGGAGTYAGAAGAGCCTCACAAACACAAACCCCCAGCACCTGCCGTGATTAATGGCTAATTGGTTAATTGGTTAATTACCAAACCTGGCAGAAAATGGGGCCAGGCTGGCTCTGAGGCTCTGGAGGGATCCAGGGGTGCCAGACCCGGGGAAACTTCTTGGTGCTTGGTTCTAATCCTCTGAGGGTTAGAAAAGCCCTCAGAGACCATGGTGTCCAACCATCCCCAGCCCGGCCAAAGCCACCACTGTCCCATGTCCCCAGTGCCACATTCACGGGGCTTTGAATCCCTGCAGGGATGGGGACTCCACCCCTGCCCGGGGCAGCTGTGCCAGGGCTGCACAGCCCTTTCCAGGAAAGAATTTCCCCAATGTCCCCCCTGTCCCTCCCCTGGCCCAGCCTGAGGCCGTTCCCTCTCCTCCTGTCCCTGTTCCCTGGAGCAGAGCCCGATCCCCCCCGGCTGTCCCCTCCTGTCAGGGAGTTGTGCAGAGCCACAAGGTCCCCCCGGAGCCTCCTTTGCTCCAGGCTGAGCCCCTTTCCAGCTCCCTCAGCCCCTCCTGGGGCTCCAGACCCTTCCCAGCTCCATTACCAGCCCCTCCAGGTCCYTGTTGGGGACATCAGAGCCGTGCTCAGCCCCGTTTCAGTGTCACAAACCTCTCCGTGTTTCTTCACGGARCAAAGATGTTGTGTTGTGTCGGTGCTTTTCAAATCACTTTGGAGAAAAAAAAGGGGGAAAAAAAAAGAAACACTTCAAAGTGTGAGAGACATTCCCGTGATGACAACCGACTTCCAGCGAGGTTTTATTCAGCAGGAACTTGTTTGCAGCAAACGAGTCGATTTGTATTTACAAGGAGGCAATTAGAGCTGCAGGTTTGAAGCATTCCCGGTGGGATGGGCCATCCCAAGAGCTGATCCCGCTGTCCTCATCACCGCTTCTGCTGCTGTTCGTGCTGCGGCAAGGTGGTGGGAGAAGGAGAAAACAGCCCGGGGACAAAGTGAAATCCATCTCCTGCATCCCTCTGGGCTCCAGGGCCATCCCCTGCTCACCTGCATCACCTGCGGGAGCTGGGGGTGAAGCCGAGGGGAATATTCCAGGGAACCACCGACCACGAGGCTTTAAACACCCGCAGTCCTGAGCCAGAAATTCCCTGGATGAGCCCAGTCCTCGCCAGGGGCTCCCAGCTTTGTCGTCGCCCTCGCAGCTTTTGCAGGCTCGGAGCTCGAAGCGGGGTCAGGAAAGGCAGCCCCGGGGCTTTGGGGAATGCTCTTGAAGCCAGGACGCGTTTGGGATGCAGGGAGGGGAATTAGAATAACAGCCCCGCGGGCTGCGAGGAGCTTGGATGGGATCGCGGCTCCAGAGGGGGAATTTAAAGGCTGAATTTTGAGCTCATGACTCAGGAACCACCGGGGCACACAACACYCCCTCCTGCTCAGCCTTTCCACAGGGATTTTGTCTCCTCCGGCCGAGTTTTCCAGCCGTGGCAGTGCTGGCCCAGCCYCACATGCCATTTTTCTCCGCTGATTGCCTTCCAGACTCTTCCCGTATTTAAAATGAAGGAAAATAATCAGGGGTCGTCCCTCAGCAGATGCCAGCTCCYGCCCTCTGCCCTTGTCCTGCCTGGGGCAGTTTTTCCCCTCTCTAAATTCAATTAGGGATGCTCAGGAGCCTCATTCGCCCGGAGCCCGGGGCTGGTGGCCTCTCCCCCGAGCTGGTCCCTGTCAGAGATGGCCCCAGCTGCTGCCTTTGTCCCGGCTGTCCCCAGGCCGAGCAGGTCACAGCAGCGGCTCCCTGGGAGGGCTGTTGGGGACAGAGCAGGGATGGAGCTGCCCAGAGCCCCCTCCCCCAGCTCTGATTTYGGGCAAAATCCACCGGAGCTGTGACAAACAGAGGTGCCACAGCCAAAACTGCTCCTGGGCCAAAGGAAGTTTGTYTAACCCCAAAGGAGCAGGCACAGCCTCACCCCACTGAGCTTCGAGAGCSGCGGGAGGCTTTTCCAGGGGCATGGGGGGGTATTCCCAGCTGAAACGCTGCAGGAAACAACATAAAGAAATAAATATTAAGAAATATTAAAAAGCAACCCCTGTTGGAGCGGACAGCTGGGTGGGGCRGCCATGAGCCCTCGCTGTGGGGTCACAGGGGGAGGATGTTTGCACTGGATTTTGCAAACGCTCGGTGGGTTTCAGGCACATCTGGTGGCCCAGGAGCAGAATCCGTGGCCGTGACGGAGCCGGTTTGCTCAGAAATGGAACAGCGATGGATTCAGGCCGGGAATGGAAAGCTCTCCAAGGTGCAGCGCTGGGGAGGGCACAGCCAGCAGGGAGGGGGCTCTGATGGAAACTCGGCAGCTCCAGAGAGGAGCCTGAGGAGCTCCGGGACAGTGCAGGAGCAGCACGAGGAGCAGCAGAGGCTCACAAACCCCAGGGCAAGGCTCTGCCCTCCCCTCCAGCTCGATGGACGGCTGGGAATCTCCAATGGATGCAGTGGGAAAGGACAAAGCCCTCCCCAGGGCATTCCCGGCTCCTCCGGACTCATTAAGGCAGCAGCTCATCAGGCTCTACAGATAATTACAGCTTCTTACAAATTCAATTTTGCCAGGGAGAGGAGGGGAGGAGGACTCCTCTCCTGAGTCTTCCAATGGATTCTGAAATCCTGGGAGATACTTGAGGAATGCATGGAGCAGGATCCCAAATTAAACCATCCCTCCCAGCCTTCTCCGCCATCCCAAGGGATGTCCCAGCCAGGTGGRGTCACCTCAGAGCCCGGGATCTCTACCCTGTCACCCTCCTCACCCTGGCACTGCTGGAGCCCAGAAAAAAAGAGGGAAAATCTCCCTCTGGAGCCTTAAAAGATGGATATTTTCCAGGTCTCATTTAATGACACAGGAGTTGAGGAGCCTTAACATGTTCCAGAAGATCTCTGTTGCCTTTTCCCATGGAAAAATCACCCTTGCTGRCCAATAACTAACAGATAGGAGAGGAGGGGAGAGAAAAACATTAAATCAAGGATAAAATAGTCAGGAAAACATCAAATCACAAGTGAAATCCAATGTTCTCTAAAAATCTGCAGTTTATTCATTAGAATTCAGTGAAAGGAACATTCATTTTAAAACACAATCAATACATTAAAAACTTGGAAGGACTAGTAGCAATGAGAGCAGGAAGGAAACAAAAACCCCCAAATTCAGACAGGTTGGTCACCTGGGAGGAGCTGCCAGCCCGGCAGCGGGATGGGGCAGCCAAGGATGAGGGTTAATTCCTTATTTCCTTAGAACTGAGAGGCTTTTTTTGGATTTTAACTTCTCACTTCACCCAAGGAGAGCTTTTGGTGACTCAGTGTGGGTRAGAAGAGCAGGAGGTCCCAGCTGGAGAGGAGAGAGCCCCGAATTCCAGGGCAGAGGGAATGTGGAAGGTGGGTCTGAGTGTCCCGGGAATGTTTGCTGAGCAACCCTGTGCTAGGAATGGGCAAAGCCAACCAAGAAACCGTTTAAAAGCACCATTAGGTGACAAGTTATTAATTAGAAGACGTAAAAATCTATGYAGAGCCAAATCCATGGCAATTGCCATCTCTGCTGGGGGGGRAAAATGGGGGAAAAYGTGGTTTGGGCTGGATTTTAGCATTGCAGAAGCTCTTCTCCCCTCTGGTTCCAAAGCTCAAGGCAGTATCAGCACAGGAAGATGCTGCAGTGATGCAGGAGCACAGGGCTGGAGCTCCCTGGAGGAGGGAGGAGGGGAAGCTGGCGAGCCCTGCTAATCCCAGGATTATTGAAGGAACAATCCTCAGGCACCAGGGCAGAATCCCAGCTCCCAGCCCAGCCAGGGAGCACCAAGGGCACAGGAAACCTGTTCAGKATGCACCAACCAACAGCATCTCCTGCACAGGGATGGAAGAAAARCCCCAGTTTTGGATAAAATAACATCAGCAGACAGCAGGGAAAGCCTCAACTGAAACCTGTGGGCTGTTTTTAACAACACTTCGAGGGAGAAATCACCAAAATCCACAAATTCAGATGAAAAACAACACTGAAAAGCAAAGAAGGGACAGCCGAGTGTGACAGAGGAGGGTTAAGGAGGTCTCAGGTGTGTGCAAAGTGTGTGTTGGTGGAGCTGGGAAGAGCCCCCAGCCCATTCCCCAGGGAGCAGGGTGGGATCCTGGCACGGCAGCAGCAGGAATGGCCTTTTCTCCATCAGAAAAGCAAACCACGCCACTCGGAAAGACACGACACACGAGTAAAAGAACAGTCTGTAAAATTTCCCCATAATTATAAAATGCAAAACTATACAAAAATAGAGAAAATCGACYGTTTTCTTGTGTGTATAAAAACAAACGAACAAAAGAAAAYCCCAAAGTCCCCAGAAAGCAATACAGAACCTCTTGGTAGGCTGASCACAACGGCAGTGGTTTCATCCCAACTCCACAGCCCCAATTCCTCCCTTCAGGCAAGGCCTTCCCTGCAAGGGACAGGCCAATTCCTCGAGTTTTTCCTAAATATCTCGGAGGACAATCTGCTGTTCCTGACTTTGAAGGTTTCTGGTTGGGAAGCCCTTTTGCATAAGAAGCCTCAATGAGCACCCCAAATGTRAGCTCCTTGGGTAAGGCAGTGTTGGACTGATCCAGCTCCAGACTGGGTTTGTTCCCGTGTATCCCGAGTGGGTTTTTTTGGGAAGAGCGGCTCATCAGGCAGTGAAATCCAATCCCTACTKCAGTGATCATTCACAGGCTGAGTTACTGCATTGGAAATTCTGATTTCTTTGGGTTAACGGGGCAGAATCCGCCAATAATCCAGCAAATTAGTGACTAACTGCGCTAGGAAAACTCATTTAAATTCCAGAGCTATTTGCCTCATTGAATTCCCATCGAATTTAGAGGAGAAACCTTTGGTATCAAGTCAGATTATCAAGCCTTGGCTGCATTGCTCCCCCCAAACCTCCCCGTCTCGTACCTATAACTGAACCCCGCACTCCTACRGACCCCCTGGAACATTCATGAAGCATCGAGACATTCCCAGCCCTCAGCAGGACTTTGGCAAAGGCTGCCCCAGGGCTGAACAATGCTCCAGAGCCTGGAGTCCACGAGATACCTTTGGTGAGACACTGAAAGGAAAGAAAGCAGGGACTGAATGCAGCTAGGGTGTCATGGGGGTGACAGGGTCCCCATGGTGTCCCCAGCAGGGTTTGCCCTGGTTTGTGTGCTGTGGGTGGGGTGAAAGTGGCATGGACCCAAAGCTGGCCCTGCTCCACTGAGGGATATCCAAAATTCATTAGCAGCTGTGCTAACAAGGGGAGCCACAACCTCCGAGCGAGGGGACCTTCCTTCTCCTGGCTGACCCCGTTCTCCTCTCCAGGGGTGGCAGTGGCACCAAGAGCTGGGYTTGTCCCAGGAAATCCTTCTTGTGTCCCAGAGGGAGGGGAGCAAAGAACCACGGTCCCTGTGGAACTCCCTGCAGCAGGACTGGCAGGAAAACACAGAAAAATTCAGGTTTGAGCCTGTGGGATCCACAGAGATGGATCTGCTGTGCCTCAGCAGGAAAATCACTTYGCACACACAGGCTGAACCAAGCCTGGCTCTGCCTCTTCCTGCTCCTGCCCAGATATCCACAGACAGGGCAGAGGAATCTCTTCTCAAAAGGAATATCAAGACCTCATTTTGCTCAGGGAGAAAAAAAACCCAAAAAAACCCCAAACTAGCTCCTTGTGCCTGGAAATCCAGGGATGGCAGGGAGCAGCTGATGGAGCCACATCCACATGGAGGGAGAGCAGTGGTTACCGAGCCGGGCAGGATTCAGAAAACTGAGTCGGGCCCAGGCAGAGCCACCCTCGCTCCACAAATGTGGGACAACTCAGGTATTTCCACTTCGGGATTATTTTTTTTTTTTGAATGCTACAAATTCTGCTGCAAAGRAAAAACAGAAAAGGGGCAATAAGGGGGGAAAACAAAACTCACTGGTAATGGATTTAAATCAGAACACAGAGCTTGGACAGGACAGGGAAGCAGCTTTTTGTCATGGATTGGGGGTTTGGCCAGAGCTAAGGGGGTTTGGGATCACAGAGGACAGGGGGAACCAGATGGAACAGATGTCACAGGAGCTCACAGGACGCCCCAGACAAAGTCTGTCCCCTCAGCATGTGTTACTCCTCCACGTTCCTTCAAAGAGGCAAAAAATCCCAAACCTTCCAGCAACTTCCAGCTTTTTTGTTCCCTCCAGCCAGGAGGAGGAAGTTGAGAAGCCCAATTTAGTTGTGGTACCTCCCAAATTCCAATGAACACTAAACTTCCCTCCTGTTGCTTTAYGCAAAGAAAACAACCATAAAATAATAAAATTAAATTAAAAAGCCACAGAACTTCCTTTTGARAAAGTAAGAGCATCTGCCACTTCACAGCTACAGGCACGATGCAAATTTAGCTTATTTCAAAGGCCTGGTCCCTGTGCCCGTGGCCCCGGAGAGGCCAGGAGCCTGGCACAAAGCACGGGAAAGGTTTCCATCAGGAATTCYGCACCGTGAAGACAGACCACAACAAAGGAGGGACAAACACTCTGTTCTTCAAAGGGACACCATGGACAGCACATCTCTCTGAGCAAATGGAAACTAGACCTGCAGCACACACACAAAACTCCTGCTTTCCTTCGGGGCAAGGAAAAGTCAAATAAACAAAACCATTGCTGCGAAGTTCCCCTTCCCAGCTGACTCACCCCCATCCTCGCTCTGGGAACAAYCGGCACTCTTCCTCCCAGCTCCCCGGACTGAGCCCGAGATGGAAGACATTCAAAGTGAGTCTGAACCGAAACATTTCACCAAGAGAACAACCCCATGTCCCTCCAAAGTCTGCCCAAGGYTTGTTCCCTCAGCACCAACACTGCACAAACCCCAACCTGCCACACCAGCAACGGGTCCATCCCCAGCTTCTACCRGGAACTGCTGCTGCACTTGGCACTGGAGAGGGCTGGAAAACCAGGAAGTGCCTCAGTGTCCATGAAGGAATCCTGGAGGCAGCTCCAAACCCYGCCACAGCATCTGCAGGGGTGAGGYCACAGAGGGCTGCAGGAGKGGGGCATCAGCCCAGCTCAAATTATAGTGCCCCCTGCAACTGCTCCTGGTGTTCTCCCTCTTACCCTTCCCTTTCCACCCCTGCCCAGAGCAGCCCCTTGGCTTGGCGACATAGTGACATTCCTCCAACCCCTTGGCTTGTGACATGGTGACATTCCTGCAGTGCAGTGTTGTTCCTGCAGTGCATCGGTGACATGGTGACATTCCTGCAGATAATCGGCCTCGGTGACACAGTGACATTCCTGCAGCCCCTTGGCTCAGTGACATGGTGACATTCGTCCTGCCCCTTGGCTTGGTGACACGGTGACATTGCTGCAGCCACTTGGCCTTGGTGACAGGGTGACATTCCTGCAGATACTCGGCCTTGGTGACACAGTGACATTGCTGTAGATACTTGGCCTTGGTGACATTCCTCCAGCCCCCTGGCTTGGTGACATGGTGACATTCCACAGCTACTCAGCCTCAGTGAGACTGAGCGTGGCACTGCRGCCGCTGCCATGCCCCGGGGTGGCCCTGCCCTTGAGGGGCTCGGCGCAGCGCTCTGGGCTCTCAGTGGCCCTGCTGCTCCCACTGGGATGTTGTGGCATGCCCTGGGCAATGCCCACAGGTTTGCCCTTGGCACGGTGCTCTGGGGAGCAGGCGAAGCCAAAGCTCGGGGGCAGCTCCGCCTCTCCCAGGGGTACCAAGCGGGCCGGCTTGGGCACCTCCCCRTGGTACCTGTAGGGCGCGGCTGCCTCCCGGGCCCACCTGGCCTCAGGCTGCAGCGGGAGGTTGGAGGGCCGCAGCGGGTGCCTGCTCAGCTCTGGCTCCGGAGCCTCCCCGGTGCCACCCCGGGACAGAGGCAGGAAAGGGGACACGGTGTCAGGCGGCTCTGATGGCTCCCAGATGCTCTCCACGGCGCCGGCCGGAGCAAAGCCCCAGAGCTCCATCCCGCCGGGAACTGCATCGGTGCCGTGCTGGAAGTGCTGCAGGCCTGGCCAGCTCAAGCCACCCTCGGGAGCCATCAGCWCTCCCTCCTCCTTGCTCCTGCTCCTCCTGGCTCCGCCAGAGTCCTTCCTGCCAGCCTCGCGCTTGGCCCAGAGCCGGCAGGGCTGGGGGCCRCTGCGGGGCCCCTGCGGCTCGGCCAGCTCGAACTCCAGGCTCTCCGTGTCCAGCGAGCGGCTCCTCCGGTCCACAGAGAGCGGTGCCGGCATGGAGGGGCTGAGGCCGTGCAGGCGCAGGTGGCGGGGCAGGCTGGCCACCCCCCAGTTGCAGCTCTGGAAGGAGCCCAGGGAGAACCCCGGGGACATTCTCTCATCACATTCAGCCAACGACTCTTTCTGTCCGTAACCGTCGTCAAAGGCCTCGGCAATGTCCTCGCCTGCATTCAGCTCCGGTTGCTGCTCACACTCTCCTTCCCCGTCCTGCTCCACGTCCACCACGTCGAAGGTGACCATGGTGGGGAGGGCGGGCAGGTTCTGTGTGAAGGATGAGCTGGAGGCCGAGCTCCCCAAGCTCTCGGAGAGGCTGGAGAAGAGGGTCCCACTGCTGGCAAACTCCACCAGCGCCTGCGAGAAGCTGACGGCRTGCTCGGGCTCGCTGCCCACCTGGGGCTCACCGGGGGTGGGCTCTGCTCCGCCACCGCGCTCTGGCTCAGGGAGCCTGTAGCCAGGGAACAGCCCTGCCTTGGCAGGGGCCACACTGCCATGGATCGAGTCCCCAAACATCCCACAATCCAGGTCTGCATCGAACCCTGGGTTGTTCTTTGTAAGCTGAATAAGGCAACTTCCTGGGGCTTTTTGGCCGTTGTAACAGTTTTCCGGACACAGAGTCCCTGGAAAATCCCTCCACTCTGGATTTTCAGCCCTAGCCACTGAAACCCCACCATTGACAGCCCGGGTTGGGGTGTGTGAGGCCACCTGCTCGCTCCCAAGGCCACTCTGACTCTTGCCAATGGAACTGGCTGCTCTCGTTTTACATTCAATGCACTGCTTTTCCCTGGGACACTTCTCCTTGCCAGAGACATCCAGGCGTTTCAGGACCGGTTCCCTCTGCAGCTCCCAGTAGAGCAGCTCTTTCTGAATGGCTGCAAGCCCCTCTTCTTCAGTTTCCATCAGCTCTCTCTTCTGATCCATCATCTGCTGGATCAGGCTCTTCTCTGCAGGRATGCAGAAGTCCATGAAGTAGCTGAAGAACTCCTGGCGTGGGACTTTGCCCTCGAACAGGGATTCCTCCCCMTGAGAGGGGCTCATCAGGGCATCAAATTCGTAAAGTGCATCTCCGCTGTAGCTGTCCCGGGGCAGTCGGTCCTTCTTGAGCTCCTCTCCGGCCTCATCCTCCGGCCCTGGTGTGGTGGAGTCATAATAGCCCTCATCACTGTTCGGGGCAGACTCCTGCTGGTCACTCTGGGGCGTCAGGAGGTCAACACCATCCATGGTGTCCCTGATGTAGGGATGCGCGTCGGCCTCGTGTGAGGCGTGGGTCTCCAAGCTGCTGCTGGACACCTGGGCCCTGTAGCTCCTGTCCCCTGGCACGCCACTGTCCCACACCTGGTGCAAGTACTCCTCAGCCTCCTCAGGGATGGCCATCTCCTCACCGCCGCCCTGGTAGGTGACGAGGCAGGAGCTGCGTTTGGTGGCATCTCGGCTGCGCTCCACCGAGATGCTGCTCTCGGCGATGTCAGGCTCGGCAATGTCATCCCCRCACCCTGTCAGGGAGTCGAAGCTCTTCAGGGAGGTGACATCGCCCAGGATGAGGCTCAGTAGGTCCCCAGAGTGCAGGCAGGGAGGCTCGTTGTCCATGAAGTCAGGATGGAAGGCCAGCAGCAGACTGTCCCGGTCAAACTCAGCGCAAGCAGCAGCCTCAGCCCCTGATTTTGTATCTGGAACATCCCTGTTCCCTGGCACAGCCATCGTGTCCCCCTCGGAGMTGCCTCCATCAGCCACAGGGCAGGCGGGCTCAGTGGCCTCAGCACAGCTGGGCTCACCCCCTGAGCTCCCTGGGCAGGCCATGGCCTCAGGGACCGGCCCTGCTCCTCTGCCCTCCGTGGCCTCTTGGCCCTCCACTCCCACTCCAGGAGCATTCCCAGCCTCYTCCACGTCCCCATTCCACTCAGGGAGCTCTGCCTTCTCACTCTCGGCAGCCTTGCTCTTCCGGTGGCGCCGAATGCTGTTAAAGAATCCTTTCAGCCCTTTTTTGGGTCTGGGGAAAGATGATTTCTCCCCGTTGGGCTTTTTCTCACAGCCCTCGATGCTCCCGGGGGGAGAGCTGTCCTGCTGGCCCAAATCCCCTCTGGCACCGGTGTCCACAGGCAGCTGAGCGCTACGGGAGCTGGGCAGGGGGCCCRGGTGCCCATCCCTGCCACCCTCCAAAGGGCTGTCCAGCTGTGTCCCGCTGCCCTTGTCACAGGCAGCGCTGCTCAGCCCATCGTGGGTCTTGCACTTGCTGAGCCCCTTCTTGCCGCGGCCCCCGAAGAAGCTGGGCAGGGTACAGATGCTCCTCTTGCCCCCAAAAAGCTTGAAGGCCGTTTTCCTCAGCTTGCCGGGGGGCGGCTGCTGCGGCTCCGCTGCCACCACGGAGCCATTGGCGCTGTCGGGAGGGGCGTCCCTGCCCTCCTCCCGCCGCTGGTCCCCTCCGTCCCGCTCCTCCGGGCTGCCCGTTTCCATGGCAGCGGGGCGGGCCTGGATCTAGCTGGAAGCAGCGGCTTTGGGAGCGCAGCGCTCCGGGTGCAGGGATGGACACATCACAGCCGACCTGAGGCACAGGGAAAGGGAGAGGTGAGCACAGGGCAGTGAAATGGGCACAGCTGGAGGCACAGAGGTCACAGGGCTCTGTCGCCAGCTGGAGGAGCCTCCAAGCTCCAAAATGTCGCTTAAATGTACCAGTTTGCCAGAGCAGGAAAACCACGCACCTCCAGTGGGTAGAACCCCTGACGACATTCAGGTCTGATTCCTGCACCTTCTCACTCCAAGCCCTTCAGCTTCCCTTATTTTTTGTCTCCACGTTGATCAGGTTTGGCTATCTTTAATTGAGGGCTAGCACCTTCCAAACCCACCCCCCTTCCCCCCAGCTCTCCCAGCCCTCGTGCCAGACTCCAAAGAACATCCTGAGGGAGGCCAAACCAGGACACAGCCCTCACTATGCACGTGTCCAGCGAAAAATCTTTGGTTACTGTGCTGGCTTTTTTTGTAGAAGATTTCAGTTGTTTTAAAAATAATCTGTCCAGCAAGGGAGAATCGCATTAAAAACACCCACTGTGAACCCCCTGATCAGATTATCCCAGAAGCAGAGAGGTAGGTTTGAAATTTGATCCTGGACTGCTGTCAGGAAGAGGAGAAATAAAACAACTACAATCATGTTTCTTTTGCAGAGCTGAGGGTGGATAAATTAAATGCAATCAAATCCTAATGTGCTCCCGAGTTGTGACACCCCAGGTTGAGCTGTGACCAACGAGAGGACAGGAAAGCTGTTTAGCCAGGGATCCCAGATTAAAAATACATTCAAACGATGCTTTCTGCTCCTGCAACCCCACAGCAAACCYGCAATTCCAGGTCCATTTCTATTCCTCAGGTCTGCATTGCTTTGCCTCTGTATTGATAGAGCATCGCTGCTCACTGAACGGTTGGAACTGGATGGGCTTCAAGGTCCCTCCCAATCCAACCCATTGCACGATTCTGGAATTCTGGGATTGCTGATAACCCTCACGTTCACCTGTCCCACTGGAGCCAGCAGCTGGGCGTAGCCGGCTGGCACAGCCGCCTCCCCACCGGCAATCTGGGCTTTTCCAGCTCTGCCAGACCCCGCCACGAGTCCCAGGWGCCTCCAAAGCCTCTGGAGAGGCCTGGATTGAGGGGCTTGGAATAAACCCCTACACACATCTGGACCTGTGCGGGGGTGCTGGAAAACTGGGGGATGAAATTACCCCAAACCAGCACCTAGACAGGGGCTGCTGGAAAACAGCTGGGGAAGGGCATGAAACACAGCCAAGATTTCAAAAATTCSTTTTGGGAATCAATTCTCTCCAGCTCCACGTCAGCACCAGCGTTGCTGCGGAGGGCAGGTTGGAGAAGAATAAAAAATGAAATAAATAAAAATTAAATAAAGAGAAATAAAGTGCACCGAGGGCAAAGAGCCACGACCAATAAAACACGAAAAATAAGGTTTWAAAGCAACAAAAAGCAGCACCGTAACAATGAAATGCAGCATTTCACCCACATGGGGGACCCTCAGGGACCCCGGCCCGCCCAGCCCCGCACGGGGACGCTCTCCCAGCCCGGCCCTCCCCGCTCCCCACGCCGCGCTCCCAAACTTTCGGGAGGATCCAGAAAACGCGAGGGGCGGAGGGCGGGGGGGGTGTCGGGCCCGGCCGCGGGGAAGCGGCGCGGCGCGGCGGCGCGGGGAGCGG